GCAAGCGGGATTGGCCTAGGGAATTTTAGTGGGGTTTTTAAGAGAAATTTTAATTATATAGGCCATAGCAAATATTTCTTTTTAATTCGGTTTTAAATTAGGTATCTATTGTAGCATTGGTTTTATAAGGCTGTCAGCCGCCCTGAGTCCGGTAAGGAGAAGGGCGGGATATAAATCGAATAAATAAATAAATAAATAAGACAACTGAGAAATTGTAGCCATTTTCATCTTTTGCTTCATTGTGTTTTTTTCCTGTTGTTTGGTATTTCAGATGAGAAAGGAGGGGGAAGAGGGAATACTTGAGCTGGTTTAGCTAGCTGTAACAATTGCAACTGTATAAGCATCAAAGTCAATTCTAGATAAAGTTTTGGCCGGGCTGAAAAGTTGGGAGAAGAACCCTCGTTTTAGATTAATTGATGAATGTGATTTATGACAGCCTTTCTGGGGTAGGAATTGCAACTTGTTACTTTGTAGCAGGGGGGAGGGAACTTTAGTCTTGGGTTCAACTATGCTGATACTTTGTTTCCTGAATAAAATGTTCTCTCAGGAAGAAATCTTTGCCTTGAAGTTCTTTTAATTGGTTTCATCTATCGGAACCATGACATTAATGTTTAACAACTGGGGGGGGGGAAGTGGTGGCACTCCAACAGCTTAAAATGAAAGCTTTTCAAGACATGTGCAATCCTGCTTTTTCCAATTGTACGGATGCTCTAATAATACATCCTGCTCTAATATATCCAACAGTTACCTGTTCAATCATCAAACTTGCTTGGTCTTCTAGACGCTCCAATGACTTATATAGCATGGTGTTTAAGCTAAGCCGATGGAAAGCCATTTTGAGGTATTCATGGTACTGCCCATTGTTATCAAGGTTGATGGCCTTCTCTAGATGTTGCATTGCAGTCTCTACTCTGTCTTCTTTTTCTTCAATACGAGCAATTTCCATATGTACTTGACAACGCAATAAAATCAACATGCTAGGAAGTAACCATAACTGTTTTCAAGTACACAGATTAAGATATTCTGTAAAAACTTTTTCCTTATGCAATACATATCTATTACAATTAGGTTTATTATTATTACACATAATAATGTGAAATCACAGCTGCTAGTTCATTAGCCGGTGTTGGCCTATATAGTAATTGTTTTTTAAGAATAGTGATTCACAGGTTTTCAAGGATCCAGCTACATTGTTTAACCTATACTATAAATGTTATTTAAAGGTGAATTAGGCTAGTTTCAAACAGGCTAATTACAGGAAAGATGATCAGACAGTGGGACCCTTGCAGTTCAAAACATCCCTGAATGATACTAATTACTTGGATCATTTCAACTGGGATTTCATTGCTTTGGTTAATCTGATATATTATTTTTTGCTACCTACTTCAGTCACTCTGAACCTATTCTGAGAAAAGGATGGGGAAAGTGAGGCTCTGCTAGTTGTCCTAGACTTCTCAGTGGTTTTTAATACCACCAACCAATGAATGATCTTTGGGCATTTGTCCTACCTGTTTGATTAAATCCAGAAGGGGTGCTGGGGAACTCCTGATACCTATCCTGTGACCTGATAGTATCTCACAGGTTTCCATCCTATCTATCATATGTTTAGTATCTATATGAAACTGCTAGAGGAATGAGTTTTGGAGTGCATGCCAATGACACCAGGTCTACTTCTTATCATTCACCTCCAACAAAACAATTGATACCCTTGAATATTGCTAATGGGCTAAATTAGACCCAGACAAGATAAATGATGTTTTTGGTGAATAATAAGATTTAGAATTTTAAAGTTTACAATAGTGAACACTGCATATCTTGTTCCTCATTTGATTCACTATTTGCCAGCTACAATCTGTGCTGAGCCAGCTGATTTGCCATTGGTTATTCCTCACCTTGGTTATATCCTGTCATCACTACTGCAATATTTTCTATGCAGGACTCCCCTTGAAAAGTGTCCACAAATGTGGCATGTAGGCTGTTAACCAGCATAAAGCACAGTTATCATATGGTGCTTTTATTAAAATATCTGCCAGTTGATTCCTCATTGGTATTGTTATATCAGGTGCTCGCATTTAAACAGGTATTTAAGTATTTAAAGACCTAAGTGGCCTAGGACTTATCTAAGGTAAGCCTCTCCTGTTACAACCTGTCTGGAAAGATGCAGAAAAAACCTTTCTGAACAACCTTCTACGGTCAGAGGACCTTCTTTCTGGCATGCCCTCAGATGATGGGATGCTTTTCTTCAGGAATTAATCCTATCTTTCAATATTTGAAAAAAAAACATGCATCTCTTTCACCAGGTTTTTGATTGTTACATAATTTTAGTATCAATTATATGTCAATTTTAATTTACAGTATGTTTTTATATTCTGCTTTTTCAATGTTTGTTAACTGCCTCGAGTGCTCAGATGCAGGAGAACATGGAAATAAGTTTGGAGATATACAGGAGCCATTAAGAGAAAATAAATGACAACTCAGTCTTGGGAAAGGGGTGGACTTGAGAAAAAGACTCAAAACAGACCCACCTCGATTCCTTTTGGTATAAGAGGGGGCAGATAGGTTCACAATTCTGTTATTATAACCTATTACTGTAATGTAAACATTCCTATGATTTTTTTTCAAAATTTTCTGATATCAGGCTGACATCCTATAAATCAGTAAATCTATTAAGCTAATAGATATTATGCTATCTAAAACAAAATGAAAGGTTGACCAAGACAAATTTACCTGTCGATCTTCTCAAGGACTTCAGCAATTGCTAGCAGGGATTTTCGTATATGATGTTGCAAATTGTGTTGCAACAGTGGTAAGCAGATATTCCACTGAGTAGTACATACTGCCTGAATAATATTAGGATCTCTCAGCCGAATTGCACGGTTCAAAATTAAATCAAGTTTCTGTATAACTTTTAATTGAGTCTGTAGAAATAAAATATGGTTTCCAATTATTATGGAAGCAATACTTTAATGAACCTAGTCTGAAAGCTCTCTCATAATTTGGATAGCATACTGACTGATCTGTTAACCCTATTCAATTTTTTCACTTTTATAGTTTGTGCCTTTTTATTGGTAGCTACATCTGGAAGCACAATTTATGATCTGCACAAGCAACAGACTCCTGAATTAAGAGATCATTCTTATGTTTTCTAACTTGATTCTCTTACTTTCAAAAGAGACAGACATTGAATTTACAGATCTAAAGTGGAGGGTGTGTCTGCCTTTACAAAATAATATTAATTAAGGAATCAACATACCTCAACAACACTTTTAGTATAAGTTTCAATTTTAGGCCCAAGTGTTTGGACTTCACAGTCACATTCCAAGCAATCTAATTCAATTTCTCTTCCTAGATCCTATTAATATAAGGAAAATTTAATTAAAGATAAATAATCAGGAACAATCTCTGTTGCTTTCAATTATTTACTTATAATGTTCAGGTTTTCTGCTTGTAGATATTGTATAGGCCTAATGTATATATAACATTTACCCAGCCATCCTGGAGAATGAAAGTTCTAATCAACTAGGCCTCTTCAAGCCAGCCACTCTCTCTCTGCCCTAGGAGAAAGCAAGGGAAAGCCTCTTCTGACCATGTTGCCCCACCTCCCCCAAAATGAATGTACTTATCCAGGTAAAACTTTCCAGATATTTCACTATTTGAAAACATATCGTTTCATTTATAATGTGACTATTGTGATTATAACAGTGGAGTGGTTCCAAAGCACCGGCACAAACAACATTTATTAGAGAATGCATATCCTTTAAAACAGCGGCACCTCAAGTTTTTGGGCACCAGAGACCGGTTCCGTGGAGAGAAATTTTTCCATGGACCGGAGGGAGCATGGTTTCGTGTGCTGCTTGCATCCTGCGGATGGGGCTTCACTTGTTTGTGTGGCCCAGTTTCTGGTATGCCATGGCCCAATGCCGGTCCACAGACCGGGAGTTGGGGATCCCTGCTTTAAAAGGGGATTGTGCAGGTGATCATATGAAGTCCTTTTTAAGCACTTGGGGGAAAATGGCGGTTTTAATTATTTTAAGGTTCATCAAAAATATTCACATGCACTTATAACACTTTCCAAACCACTCTTTAAAAAGATTTGAATATCCCAATAAAAATTTTAAAATCTTATTCATCCAGCTGAAAGTAGCACACACAAGCAGACAAGTGGTAATATAACTTCCTATTATTATGGACATATATAATGTAATTTCTTTGTTTTCAATAATACATTCCTCTATATTCTATTTCTAATTATTGTTTTAAGAGAACGGTGCTTCTAGGGCAAGGCTTTTCAACCAGTGATATGGGTACCACCTGTGATACATTGGCACCTGGCAGGTGGCACACGACCATCCTAGAAAAGTGGTAGTGGGGGAGGGGAATGGGCTGAACCGGTGGCAGCACCGCACAAGCCTGAGTAAGAGATGGCTGGAGCTGCAGGGCTGTCAGGGCTCAGCGGAAGCGCCAGGATCAGCACTTCTTCGGGATTGTCAGGGCTCAGTGGAAGCTCCAGGATCAGCGCTTCTTCGGGACTGTCAGGGCTCAGTGGAAGCGCCAGGATCAACGCCAGGCTGAGCCTTCTGCCGAGCCCAGAAGACGCGCCGATCACCTGGAATGTTGCAGCATCTCCAGGGTCTTGTGATTTACATTCAGATGCTTGGCAACTTATTCATATTTATGACGGTCACAGTGTCCCAGGGTCATGTGAAGTGACCAAAACCTGCTGCAACCACCCAGCAGACGGGGGAAATAAAAACCAAACACCCCTCACCCCACCCCCACTGCCAATCCTCAACAGAAATGCTCACAACAATGAAAACCTTGGACAGGAGGAAGAGTGCCGCCGGGTGGGCAGGCAGGTGTCTTGCTCAGCTGTGGCTTGGGGGGCACTTTTTTCAGTGCCATTGTAACTTCGAACAGTCACTAAGCGAACTGTTGTAAGTCGAGGACTACCTGTACTTCATCACTTTTTTCCTTTTTTTTGGGTCATCAAGTTTTTGACATCTTGCTAGGCAACTGGTGGTACTCAGATATTGCCATATCCTAAAAGCGGTACAATGGGTGAAAAGGTTGAAAAGCCCTGGTCTAGGGAACACTGTGTTTCATGGACTTTGATCATTGTTTTAACAAAGTAATTTTGGAATGGTTTTTTTATTTGTTTCTTTTGTTTATATGGCACTTTCCACCCAAAATACATTTACTGTATATACAAGTTAAAAAAGTTAATCTTTTGTAATAATCATGCTTCATGACAATATAATTCAAGCTAGGATTTCTTAATACTCACATGAATTTTATAATTCTTCAACTCTTTTAAACATAACATTGCAATATTTATACAATTTAACCTCAAAGAAAGTCGTGCTAGTTCCAGCAGCAAAGAAATTCTGCAAAAGTAAAAAAAACAGAATCAGAATAAAACTAGCAAGTAACAGTGACTTTTATGCAGTAAAGACTGATAATTACCTTGCTTACTCAGAAGTAATTTCAACTGAGTTATGAACAAAAATATAGGAGAGTGGTTGCAAGTTTAGTATCCCAGTTGGTTTATTGTAAGATAGAAGTACAGGGATCAGTAATATAAATAAAATCTGATAGATTTTTTAAAGATTCAGTTAGAAAGGTAGATCATTCATCTGCCCGTCTACTTCTCTTGCTAAACAGCATGTCAAGCTGTCACAGCAACTAAGACAGGTGTCACAAAACTGAGAGAAAAGGAAAGGAAGGAATCCTATCTTCTTTTCCTACTATATTAGTTAAATAAATAGTTCTAGGTTTCAAGCTGGCAAATACAATCTTGTTATAAGTAGCTGTTGAGCATCTCCCACACAGAGAAGGATTAGCTGCCCTAATATGGGGCGCCACAGGGGAATAAAGCCTTATTCTTCCATCAGGCTTTCCCTAATATTTATGACATGAAACAACATTAGTATTTTCTCTATGGTGCTCATTATTTGAAAGAGGCAAATCTCGTTCAATCATGAACATATTTCAGAATGCTTGGAAGCCTGTGTTAGGAAAAAGAGCTAAATCAGAGCTATAACAAGGAGTCGATTTGTGTGATAAATAATACAGAGAATTATCATTTATTGTGTGGGGAAGTCATTTGGTATCGGGGGATAAATAGTTCACACTGAGCACAGAAGGTATTAAATTTACTTGGATTTTCATACGTGTACAGCAGGGAAGAGACTATTCAATGCAGAATGGTCCTTGTGTGTAGCTGAATCAACAGTGATGGAGTCCTACTTGGAGAGGCTTTCCTGTGATGATTGATTCTGTCCCTTGTGCTGGGCTACTTTGTCCATCATCTAGGGTTGCTGGCTCATCTGGGGTAGCCACTTAGTTTTGATATTGGAGTGAGGCACTGGACAGTTATTTTGACAATCAGTGAAGGAGCCAGACAGCCAGTAGGCATTGGGTGAATCCTTAATGTCTAGGTCAGTATTTCTCACCCTCAGCAACTTTAATACTTGTGGACTTCAATCCCAGAATTCTCCAGCCAGCCATGCTAGCTGGAGAATTCTTGGAGTTAAAGTCCACAAGTGTTAAAGTTGCTGAGGGTGAGAAATACTGATGAAGTCAGAGGTCGTCAAAAGTGGTCCTTTTATAACTTATGGACTTCAACTCCCAGAATTCCTCAGCCAGTGTGTCTGGTTGAGGAATTCTGGGAGTTGAAGTCCACAAGTCATAAAAGGGCCAAGTTTGAAGACCCCTGGACTAAGTAATGATTCTTTTCTTGCAGCAGCTGAAGCAGGAACAGGCAATCAAGCTGTCAGGCTCCTTTTATCAAGACTCAGCAATAAAGACCTTTTGACCTTACATGATTAAACTCATTTCCTGGGCTAGATCCTTGGCAGAAGTCTCACAGACATCTAGATAAGAGTCTCTTATAGCAGAGAAATGAATCTCAATGAAACAGCTAATGTTGCCAGTGTTAAAGGTGAAAGTGCATCAGTTATTAAAATTGTAGCTCCAGCAACTTCTCATGAATGAATGGACCTTTTGCACAGTTCTTGGTGTCCTTGAATTTGAAGGGTTGTTGAGTGTTTAAAAAAACTATGAATTCTTGCCAGATAAGTTTAAAAAATTTAAAACATTTGCACCGGCTGCCCATTTTAAACAACTCCAGGTGGTTCACAACAGCAATAAAACCAGGAAATATAAAACATAATCATAAATCGGTAAAACAAAATAAAAAATCCTGTACTGGGAAGGGGAAACACCCCACCATACAACAAAGCATAAATTTTGAATAAAAAATAAATGAAACAGTTCTATGAATGCTCATCCATAAATCCTTTAGAACAGGAGTCCCCAACTCCTGGGTCATCGCCCACTACCAGGCTGTGGTCTATTCGGTATTGGGCTGCTTAACCTGCTGGCTGGAGTGTGTGCACGCAGCTCAACTTGCGTAGGCTGGTGGGCAGTCACATGCGTGCAAGTCGGCCCACCGCTTGTGCAAGTTGGGCTTTGCGCAGGTGTACCAGCCCGCCACTTGCGGAAGGGCTGTGTGCATAGGCATGCCAGTCTACCAGTTGCGCGGCCCAGTTCTCCTCTCCCCCACCCCCCCTGCTGGGCCACCAAGCCACAAAGGTTGGGGACCGTGCTTTAGAACATCAAAAATAAATACCAAAAATATACACATCCAAAGCTATGTAAGCAATACATACATAAACATGCAAAATACACATTTTACATTTAAAAAGGCAAAAAACCAGAAGTCACTACAATAGACTTGAAGAAAGAAGAAAAATAGAACAAGTATACCAACAAAAAAAAATTCTTCATTGCTATTAGGTTTGATATATTATCTGAACACTAACAGATGGGGGGGGGGAAACAGAATTTGGCTAAATAACTCATTATCACCTGACTCATTCACCAAACATTAAAATAAACCTGAACAAAGTAAATATCTGAACATAGTAAATATATCAATTTTATTTTTTAGATCTGGATACAATAAATACTGATGTTTTTAAAGTTTCCAGAACATTGCTAAATATGAAACTCACCTTTCATTACGTTTTACTTGTTTTCTAGATCCTTTCAAAATTTCAAATATGTTATTCAAATCTGTAGCAGCATCTTCTGGAATCTGATTTTTATCTAATTGCCTGCAATTATTTTATAAGTAGAAGATTAATAATATTTTGCAAATTTTCAATCTATCTCTATGCATCCATCTCCATCCATCCATCCATCTTAGGTACTTTTAGGCCAAATAAAGTCCATCTTGTAAAATCATCTAGAGTGGGTCTACATAAGCTCTTGCTCCCACAAGAAATGAGAGGGGTTTGGGTCAGTAACAGTCCCAACAATGGAATATGTCTATCATTCTGAAGATACATAATGACTTTGATTCTTCGCAAGGAAAAAAAGCGGGCATTTTATTCTTTTTTATTATTGTATTATCAATGATTTATGTATCTATGGAAGTTGTTTAGGTTGAGATATTTCTGCACATTGCTCAGTCATTAGATTCAATTGTACTTTAAGCAAGAAGACTGCTTTTTATAAAACATTACAAATGCAGTTTAGGATATATAAGAGGTAAAAAAAATAGAGGGAAAAATGGAACCTATGCTGCCTTGAGTTACTGAACTTAAAACAGGATGTAACTCTAACAGATCAATAAATTCAATTTGGGCATTTTTTTTTAGTTATGATTTCCACGATACTGGTCTATCTTTAGATATATAAACATCAAAGAAGTACATGCATAAAAGCTGATACTTACCCTTTGATTGTTTGAATTTTATATATGATATTCAAATTAAGAGAGCTTTCAAGTTTGTCTTCTATATCTAAAACATCCACTAGTTTGTTACGCACCTGTAAACAATTACAACAACTATATCATCAAATTATAGAAAGAAGAAAACCATCAGAATTTCCAACATTGAAATTCAATGTAGATTCCTGGTATTTTCATTATAGGCTCTATATGATAACTGTGTACAGCGGAAGATTTCCCCATTTTTAAAATCAGATTTGACTTTTCATTATGGTGATTCTTAAAGTACAAAACAATTAGATTTCAATCTAACACAAAGATCTCCCTAAGGGTAAAATGGTTCCTTGAGTGAAACTATGTAGGTCATCAAACTATACACGATTACCAAATACTTTGCTCAATTCAACTATCTTTGCTCAATTAAACTATAACACACACTTTTCCTTTCTTTTTAATCTATTTTTATTTTATTCAAAAAAAGTTAAAATACAAAACACCAAAAGCTCTTCCCCAAGATGTCTGCTGAACAGTAGGAACTTTTCTTTTTCCTGCTGATGATCTGCCAATTTTACTGCCAAAGCTGGTTCTTCGGCAGTGCTGCACCTTGGATCTGAATGGGAGCACTCAGAAATGACCCAAGACAGCTTTTGGATGGCTGTGGACCCACTTGGGAAGGGGAGTCTTGAAGATTCCAGTTTTCTTTGGGAGCAGTCAGAAAGCCACTGGGCATATATCTTCCTCTCAGCAGTTCGTTTTCTTAAATATGCATAGGTTTTAACTTCACTTTTTGAAACCTCTGTGTTACTTTGTTTTTTTTATCTTTAAAAGTTGACTGGTTGGCTGAAGTCTGATTTATTTTAACCCCCTGCTGGACTCTTATCTGTTTTTTTTTTCCTTTTGCTTTATGCTGTTTTGAATAATTTTTATTTCTCTATAAGGAAACATGACATGTTCTTGGATGGTGGAAGTGCTTTTATTTGATTTACATTTTATTGGACTACAGGGATTTTATATTTTATCAATTGGCAAAAAGTTTGGAGTTTATCTTTCTTAATCTTTCTTTTAATCCTTGATCAAAATATCCAGAAAATATTTTCCCTGCTCTTTTTTTTTTCTTATTCTGTTTTGAAGAACAACAATGCAACAGATTACAGAAAAGGGAAGGAGGCTGATACTCGAAAAAAGACTGTTTGGCTGAAAGCTTTTTTTAAAGGTTTGAGGAACTTATTAATGCTGTGGAAAACATTCAGAGGCAAGTGACTGTAAATAAATTAAACTACAAAAGGAATGTGATTTCAAAACAGTAGATTCCTAGGAACTATAAACCCAGACTTAGAAATGTCAGAGATGACTCCATACACCCCCCTCAATTTCAAATCTGCATTCTTAACCAATAGCAGAAAACTCTCTGAGTGGGTAAGTAATAAATTGGTGTTTTTTTAGTGGATTGAAGGAGATTAGGGAATGGATTTATCACATTTAACTGGGGAACAATGTCATGTGGACTTTTTGGGGGAAGATAGACTGGTTTGAATGTATTGTATTTATTCTATTTAATCAGACAACAATTGATAAGAGTTGGTATTAAGAAACAAACATGGATATTTTATCCAGGTCGAATCAGTGTTAATTTTTAGGATGGTATGGGATAGTTAAGAAGTTGTGGTAAATTTCCTACAAGTTGATTATAATAATAACAGGGTTTTGGAATTTTAATCTTGTCTTTTTTATTATTGTTATCATGTTAACTATTTTGTTATTAATATAGTATATACTGTAAATGATAGGTTAAAAACCTGGAAATAGAATTAGTAGTTTAGTAATTTAAAATTCTTTGGGCCTGTTTCACAATTAATATATTGTTGTAATATATTAATCAGCATTCAAATGGGAGGTAACAATATGTCTATGTGTGCTAGTCTTTTTAATGCACTTTTTTCTTTTTAATGTTCTTTGTTTTGCTTTTTTTCTTTGTTTGTTCTCCCACACACACACAAAATTGGTATAACACATTCTTTTCCATAATGAATCATCAATTTATCACCCATACATTTATTTTTTCCCTTAAAATGTAGCATTATACAGGGTGTCATTAGATTCTTTACTACTTTCAATTTCAATTTCTCACAGAAGGATTGTATAGTTGAGTGCAGGACAGGACCAAATTAGCAGAATAACAGAGTTGGAAGGGACCTTAGTCCAACCCTCTGCTCAAGCAGGAAAAAATGGAACTTCTCCTTGAGCTCCTAAGGGCTATAAATCTAACAGGTAAATAAACTGCTAGATAGCAGTGTCTTTTTCTTCTTATATTTTTATTTCATTTTTTGTTTCCTACTGCAATATATCCTTCTCATTTTTTATTATGTGTCATAAACTATCCATATTATTAGAAGGATATAAAGTGAGATTACTCATTCAGGTGAAACACCAACTTTCATACATGTAACTTTTCTAGCATTCTGTTAGCATCAAGGGAAAGATATAAGTTGTATGTAACATTTTCAAAAGTTACCATTATTGAAAATAAATTCTGATATCTACTTGGAACATTTTCTTCAATGAATGTGGCTGCAGTGGATGAAAAGGTTGTGGCTTCTTCCATTCTGGAAGCATCCAGGAAACACTCCAGCAATTCTCTGGGATGAAAAAATGGTTATATTAAATATCCTTTGGAAAAGTATTGGTAAACAATATATGATTTATTATTATTTTTGACAAAAGCCTTTGAAAACTTGAAAGTTCTTTATTTTATAATCTTCAGTGAAAATGAAGATACTATTTTGAAATTATTGTAACTAACATTTTGGTTTCTGTACAAATAAAAATATTGCCAAATAATCATATGTCTTATTTGAAAGCTATTTAAAGGCTATTATTTTTCAAAAAGCACATGTGAAACTCATGCATGATCTTCTGCCTTATCTACTGCATGAAAAATCTTTAGCTTTTATTCCAGACTTTTTTAAATAGAACATTCAAGTAAAACAATCTTAACGAATAAGCCTAAAGAATTTAGTTGCTATGTTTGCTGTGTATATTTTACATCATGTATATATTATATGATCACTCATTTTGAAGATAAGAAAATAGAAAAATATTACTCAATTAATCAGAGGCATAATAGTAAAAAAGAAAAAAACAAGAAAAATGCAATCCTGTCAAACATGCTTTTTAAAACCATTTGAACTACACATCAGATGTTTTTAAAAAATTGATAATCAGTCCAGTGTAGCAGAATAAAATTAAATGTGCTTTTCTTTCATTTTCTCTTACTGAGAAATCTGTCCAATAATCTGCATTTTTGTTAGAACAAAAAGGATGACCTCTCTGTCCATATATTATATTTACCCAAACTTTAGGACACTGTAGCCATTATGCAAATTTTGTATGTGTAGATGTAGAACTGAAGCATATACAAGTAGTCCTCACAATTGCCCTGCTTAATGGACATTCAATAGTGCTGAAAAAGTAACTTTATAAACTGGTCCTCACAGTTCCTCGATGATCATGTAACTGACATCCAGAGGCTCCACAACTGGCAGGCATTTATAATAATCACATGATTGCCATTTGCATGCTTCACAGCTGGCTTTTGACAAGCAGAGTCAATGAAGAAGTAAAATTACAAATGGTGATCACGTGATTGCACACTTAATATCCATGGATGACTTGTTTAATGACCACAGCAGAAGTGAGATTGTAAGTCCATCGTGATCATATGAAGTCTCGCCTAACAACTGCATTTGCTTAGCTATGGAGTTGCCAGTCCCAACTGCGGTCATTAAGTAAGGACTACCAATATGAAGTGGAGTAATATGTATTTGAGATGCTAAGATCCTCAAAACAGATACACAGTATATATAGAGAGATATGCTTGTATTCCCCTGAACTGAAAATCATGTCCCATTAGAAAAAATTATTACAAAAAGTATAAGTCCTTAAGTCTCCTATTAAGTTAATTTTAAACCAGTCATTTAGTGAGTCTATGACTTGCATAAATAGGTTTTATGAGGTTTTCCAAAAACCATTAGATCAGCTTCCATAATCATTTAAAAGTTATTTTAGAATATCATGAAAACATCAATATTCTTTTTGTCAAATGCCAATAAAATCAGGAGATTCAGGAAGTTCAAATGAGTATAAAGATTTATTGCAAACTTAAGCATTCTATAAGAATCTGAGCAACTGGCCATTAAGGGAAATGAGCGGGAGATAAGAGAGGCATTCAAGGTGGGCTGAAATTAGATCTCTTGTTGGCGCGCAGGGACTCATGACTTGTGATGTGTTTGACCCTCCTTCAGGCTCCTATACTTTCTTAGGTTATATTCAAAGCACTAAATTAATGATTGGTATTCAAAAAAAAATCCTATCATCAAATCAAACAACTTGATTTCTGATTCAAAATCTTGACATTATATAGCATTTCATACATAATACAGTATTAATAATCAATGTTAAGTTGTAACTTAACAACTCTTTGGTGACTGTTAACAATAGAACATTAAATTTACATTTGAGCCAGCATCTCATTGACTAGAAATTCTTGGACAGCTTCTTTTCTTCCTATGGAGATATTTATAACATAGGAAAAGCCATCATTACTGCAACCAAAGAAATTATCATATTGATTTTACAGACATTCCTATTCCCTAAATAGGAATTCACCTTACATCATAAGTTCTGCTGTCCAATCTTTGTCTTCCTCATCTGGATGTTTCAATGCAGGCACAATCTGAGAGAGACTTGGTATAAGAAAGTAGCGGAACCCGGGCTTTAAAAATGGCCTTATATTTTTCCAATAAATAACTGAAGCATTATATATCAAAAAATAGTATCTGGAATAAAACATATTATTATTCATTAAGATTAGCTGGCCCCAAATAGAAATAAGCAAGAAATGGATATAGGACATTCTCCTATCAAGACTTTCCACCATCAGATTATTATATTGGTTTTTTTTATTCATGGATAACCTGAAGCCAAATGTAAGGGATCGGTCAAGGATTATTCCAAGATATTTTGGATGGCAGTTGTGTTTTATCCTCTTTCCACAAAAAGATATGTTTAACTCTCTCTTTGCTGCACGATAGCTTAGATGGAAGATGTATACTTCAGTTTTATTTGGGTTAGGGCATAGCCTCCATTTCTCATAATATTGGTTTAATGAACTCAGATCCTTAGTAAGAATATATTCTGCTTCCTCAGAATCCTTGGTTTGGATAGCAAGTGCCATATCATTGGCATAGCAAAATTTTTCAATTGGATTCTGGTAAATCACTAGTATATAGATTAAATAGAAATTGGGCTAGAACCGATCCCTGTGGCAAGCCATTCTTAATGGAAAAGGATTTACTAGTGGTGCCTCTTACAGTGACCTTGAAGTATCGGTTTTAAGCATGTTCCCCAGAAGTCTTGTTACTTTTAAACTTTTAGTTTTCTTCAGCTTGAGCAGCAAACTGTCAAGCTACCCCATGTCATAAGCTGCAGTCAAATTAATAAAAGCCACAGAAGTTTTAGTTTTATGAAAACCAACTTCAATAAATGAAGTGAGAGCCAGACCTTGCTCATAGCACCTTCTTTTGATGCCGAATCCTTTACATTTGGAAAACACCTTGAAGTAATTGGTCAAAAATTGAAAACCACTTCAAAGCACCTGGGATGATCTCATTGCAGCCACTAGAAGCAGTTAGATGGTTAGCTTCCTTAGATATTGAATTATAACATCTAACTCCTTGCAATTCTGTGGCTCCATATTATCTATTATGGTTTTATCTTAATTTAATATCTTATCTCCTGTATTGTATTCTCCACATATCACTAAATTGTATATCAGTGATTGCATGACCTCTGCAGACCTCTACTCTAAATAAATAAATAAAACCTGAAGGCTAACTAAGTAATATAAGCCAGTAACATATGATAGGAATGTGATTAAAAATCAGGCATTCAGTCTTGCCTAGGTCTTTTAAAGTATTCTGGTTATTGCTCCATGCCTTAGTATATAAAACAGATAGCCACATTAAGGCAAAGCACATTAAGTGGCTAGCAGCCATTAAACCCCACTCTCCTTCGTACTGATGATGCTACCTAGGGAGGTATTAAAATGTCTGCAACAAAACAACCATGCTCAGAGACCACCAAGAAGCCAACAAAAGGACAATACTTTTTATGCTATGAAGTAATTCTTATTTATTTAGTTAGGCACAACAATTGTTTCCAGCTCATTATTGAATGAAATCAGGGAGATGATCTTCAAAAAGAAAAGAATGAGAAAAATCTTACCTTGAATCACTTAATGCAAAATCAATGGTTTTCAGCAAGTTTATATTGAATTTTTCAAATTGTTCCTAAAAGGAAATGCAAGTATTTCACTTTGAAATAAAATAAAAACTCTACAATATATTGCTCTTCTAGTACCAACAATTCCCAAACTATTATTAATTCAGAACTCACAACTTCTACAACTTCTAAATATATGTATTATTCTTTTTCTATTTATAATATGTATACATGTATATTATATTGCATGAGTTGGTAGGTAATAAAGTAAACTCTTTATTTAATGATTTAAATGGGGAAGAGGTATAGATTACAGCAGAATGTCCATTATATCTGAATGGAACCTTTGGATGCATCTTGTATTACTTTATACCTGTGTAAATAGTAAATATAATTTTATACATGTGCAGAACTTGACACTGCGCAAAGTATCCTAAGTCTGCTAATTGTGTATAATAAAAACTATTTAATATACTTAAGTTACCACAATCCCATTCAGAGTAGGGCTTTGTGAAGTATTTGAATGGGACACTTTGCAAAGTATGACATTGCAAGCACTAAAGCAAGTTTGTTCTCCCAGACTTTTGTGGCTCCTCCAAACTGTCCACAAAAGTCTGTGGGTGTTGTCCATGCACCATACTTTGCTTTATGGCCTTGAAGTCCTAACACACTTTGAAAAGGGTCCTTTTTGAATGCTTTGCGTAGCCTAAGTTCTCAATCTAATAATACAGAACCATGGGCATCCACTGGAAGACATAATGATCTTAAAAGAAACATTGTTGCTTCCAGATGTTACCATATAAATGATGTGAGAGATTTCTCAGGGATATAAGAGGCAGCAGAACAAAATGCATAAATAATTTTTTTTTATGAATGTCCTTGAATTAAGAACCAAGCTGTGTTTACTATAATCATTACATCACTGTTTCTCAACCTTAGCCACTTTAAGATACGTGGACTTCAATTCCCAGAATTCTCCAGCCAGCATTACAACTACCATTGCCTTTAATTTCCCTTTCAAAAGAAGAGCCTCTAGATCACGGGTGTCAAACTTGCTGCATCACGTGACGTGTCATGATGTATCGTGACTTTTTTTGCATTGCTAGGGTGGGTGCGGTCTCCGAATGATGCAACCAACCCGCAAGCCAGCAGACTGACACCCCTACTCTAGATTAACAATATCAAAATCAGTCTTATACTCACCAAATTGTCAGTAGATACAGGAGTATATAACTGGCTCTGGCACAAATATGCTCTACCCAAGAATTGGTTAACAGGAGCTTTTCCTTTAAAATACATTTGTAGACAGTCATGGCTTATTTCAGGAAGACCCATCTAAAATTAAACATATTTCATTTTTTAAAGAAGATCTACACAATATTAATAAATGGCATGCTATCCCCAAGAAAATGAATGGGCTGTTACCTGATATGCTTGTTCTGCGCATAAGACATATAAGTCAAAAGAGAAACTCTCCAAGGAATCAAGGGCAGATTTTCCATCATGTGCTGATTTGATCAAGTTGTAAGTACTTTTCAAAGCATCAACATCTTTAAAAAAATAAATTAGGTGAAAAGTATTTTTTTGCATTTAGTTATATCGATAATGAAAATAATTTTGGGTAAGAGTAATTAGAAGCTTGAGGAATAAGCCCGAGAGATAGTTGTGCTTCCCCTTGATGTCATGCTTTGGGCCACAGAAACAACATTATGGTTTTTATCTAACAAGAACACTGGTGAGTTTTTCTTCATTAACCTTCATTTCAAAGCTTTCTTCCAGTAGCCTTCTAGAAAAGCCAGAGCATACTCAAATGCCACACAAAACACAGTAACAACATTTGCTTTTTAGCTGTTGCCCAGCAACTTTGAAGGGATGCTTGCTTGAAGCATCATCAATGCATTCTTTGAAGCTTTGAATAGCCTTAATCGGTTTACTCAGTTCAACTGATTTTCAGTTTGTACCATGCACTGGAGCATAAACTAAAACTATCATCTGGACCTACAAACTACACTGAACTAAAATGTGGTTGGCAAGTTACTGGTTCAATTGTGTTGTGCAAACATAGACATATAGCATTATTCTTCATTAGAAGCCTTGCCTAATCAAAAAACTGCTATAGACATTGATCTATCTCAAGGAAAATTTGTATGACCAATACATAGACTGAAAATAATTACTGAAAACAAATCTAACCTTTTCTGTCAAGTAGCAATGGGACTAAAGGAGTTTTCGAAGAATGTTGACAGTTGGAAACAATGTTTTGCATGCAAGAAAATTAAAAATAGTTTGTATATTCATCATGTAAATAGATACTCAGTTGTCCATGACAAATGATCACCATCTTAGCTGTCAAATATTATCCTCATCTTCCACCTCCTCATATACCATATATTTATATGGTGCAAAGCACTATTAACTTGGACAAAAGAGCTTATGCAAAGAAAGTCTAGGGAAAGCCAACCTCATCCAAGAATAAATAAGTACCTGGATCTTACTTTAACTTTAATTTGTTTGATTGTAGGAAAACACCCATTTCTTTAAATGTCTGGAAGAAAGCTTTAACAGTCCATACAATAAATACTAAAAAGAATTTAAAACCATTTACTTTGTTCTTTTTCAGCATCTGACAGCTGCTGCCTAATCAATATCTCCATGCCTTTTCAGCTATTTATTCAGACTTTGTTCAGAATTCGCTGGAAAAAAAAACAATCCAGGATGAAAAGCAAAATAATATTTTAGGTTCTTTTACCAGGAAACATTCAGACATTTTGCGAGATTATTTGGGATTCAGTATCTGCACTAATTGAGACCTGACTGCTTTTTTGAGTAATCATATAAAGTTCCACTACAAATATATATGTGTGTGTGTGTGTGTGTGTGTGTGTGTGTGTGTGCGTGTGTGTGTATAGCTCAGAATTGAACTGTGGAGTTCTTGGTGCTCTTAACTTAGTTGTTTTCTTGCAGATGTTTCATTCCCCAACTAAGTAACATCCTCAGTGCAAGTGAGTGTGGGGTTTGCTCCCTGCCTATATAGAATCAGTGTTACACACTCATTTGCACTGAGGAGGTTACTTAGTTGGGTAATAAAATGTCTGCAAGAAAACAGCTAAGCTCAGAAAGCACTAAGAACACCACAATTCAACTCTGTTAGAAGTAAGTCTTCATCCTGGTTCATCCAAGCCGGGAATAAATAAGCAAACATGGCGACTGCTTTGGGAAGAAGGTTACGGTTTATTGCAGAAGACAGATGGTCCTTGCAAGAAGCAGCAGAGGAGAAGAAAGAGAGGGAGCACATGGGCAGAAGGTCTTTTTATACCCTCTAGCCCTGCTTGGAATAGTTTCCTGTTCCTGCGGCATGAACTTTGAGGCTATTTCTGAGTGTTTTTCTAGGCCTTGATATCTGTGGTTTAATCCCATTATCATATCCTGCTTCCCAGGTGATGGGGCTAATGACTCTTAAGAGCTTCTTTTGTCTTGACATCCCTGGCTCCAAACTTCCTGATGGTTCCACATCTGCATATGTATAAGACTAGCTACTGCTTTGGGCAAAGAGATGAGGCCAGGTTTGGTTTCTGCTTTTCAAAAAATGCTTTTAAAAATCCTTTTGGTGAACAATATCTTTCTTTCTGCCTTTTTAATATTTCCTTCTCTGGGCTAACTTCCCACAACTCTGAATTATCTCCTTGGTGGTTCTTTGATCGGGATTTTGTTCCTTAATTAGGATATTATCTTCTGCTTAATAGGTTGCCTGATGTTAATCTTTTGTTTCTTTGTTTCCTCCTTAGCTTTTTTATTATCAGTTTTGAATGCTGTGTAAAAATCTGGTTTATGTCTGCCTATTGTTGGCTGCTAACAATATAAAGGATGAGAAATATGCCATCCAGTGGCAAATCTATAACAAATTTTGCAAAGTATGAATCATATCATTCAGGTTGGTTACTTGGAGCTTATTTGAGGAGCAGTTATATCTACGTTTGTGTGCATGTGCATCTATCCCCATAGATGTGCACCTATCCCCATACATTAACACGGACACACAGGCGTACCTTTTCACTGTCACACACAGATGTTACCTGCTGGGATTGCTCCCAAACGATGCCTCACTAGCTCTGCTGCCGCTCCCTTCGGTGTCTTCTTCAGCCCTTCCCGCCCCCGAAGGCCAGTCCAGCACCGTCTCCACTCGCTCCTGCGCCGGTACTAACCGGACCTCCCTCCACTTCGCTTCCGAGGCGCTCCGGGTCGGGATTGCCACTAACGCCGGGAGCAATTTCAAGCGCCACGCGCCGCCGCGTCCCTCCGTCTCTTAGCAACGCCTCGCTAGCTAAGCGATTCACTCGGTCTGTTCACTTCCCTACGGGGTCCTTGAGAAGTCAGAATTACTTGCCAAGCGAACAGGTTTGTTTTTTTCCACTGCCCCGAGAGACGTCATCAATTGCAGAGATTTAGAGATTCTGCTTGTCGCTTTAGGCAGTGGCTTAAAATATCCCGGAAAGCTAAAGTAGAACTGATACAAAAAATTAGAAGCGATTGTTTTTGTGTGTGAACTTGTTCTTAAGAATTTCAGTAGCACTCCGATCTATTTGTGGCACGCTGGGGACCCTGTGAAAATGATTTAAGAAAACTGTAAGCCAGTATTTCTTAACCTCAACAACTTTAAGATGTGGGAACTTCAAATCCCAGAATTCCCTAGCCAGCCTGCTTTTGAGGTTCAGAAGCATTGCTCTAGTCCAGGGGTGGGGAACGATGGCCCTTTTATGACTTGGGGACTTCAGCTCCCAGAATTCCTGCGCCAGCCACGCTGGCTCAGGAATTCTGGGAGTTGTAATCTCCAAGTCATAAAGGGGCCATGGCTCCCCCACCTCTGCTCTAGTTTAAGGAATCTATCCAGTGTCAATCTCAAAGGTGCTTTTTCAGGAGGTAATTGGACTTTCTTATTTTTCTTTGAAGCTGTTTCACTTCTCATCCAAGAAGCTTCTTCAGCTCTGACTAGCTTGTGGGAAATGGAAGGATTTATATTCCTTGCAGGCATCTGGTTATTTGCATTCTTTAATCTTTGAAACCATTTGGAGTTTTACCTTCTTGGAGAATTGGAGATTGAGAGCAATTTGTTTTCTCAAAGATAAAATCATGGCTTTATAACAGAAGCATATTCTTTTTATGCAAGGATTTTTTACATAATAATTCCATTTAAAATGAGAATGATAAAGTTCATGGTTAATAACCTTTTATCCACTAGTGACTTACAGTATTTTTGTAATACTACTTTGTTATCACTGAAATGTTATCCCTGCCTTCATTATTATTTTGGCACAGCAGTAGTTACATGACCAGGAAAGAAGCCAAAATTTATTAGTTGGGAAATGAGCATTAGGATAGTGAAATCCTACATCAAAGATTATCCATTTGGATAACTTTAGTAATATGAGAGAGAGACTTTATTCTTAAATTTTGCCTGTATCATTCAGGAGCCATTGCTTGATATATCTTTTTTTTTATGTTGCAGCAATATGCAGGTTTCTTTTACTACAAAAAATAAAGTGCAGCATAGTTTACTAACAAGCATCCTGTACAGTAAATATAGTATCAGATTTCAAGAGCTATTTATTAACACAGTTGATGATTATATTATAGGAAGACAGCAACCCCCCCTCCCCGAGAAAAATATTTTGGGGAATATTAAAAAGGTAGAATATTATATTCTGCCAAAGGAATAATGGAGAAAATCTTAGGCAGAACCTTCCCCCCCAGCTTTGTATGGCTGAGAGAATCATGCAGATGTTAAATCTGCATTGACATGCATCCTTGCCTTCCATCCTTTCTCTATGATAAAATTATTGGAGATGAAAGCACTGCCACCAGCAACATGGCTTTGCGCTGAGATCCCTTATAATGGCCCCAAACATCAGGGTTTTATCTATCAATAAAATCAACTGGTTATGAATGGTTGTCTTTTGAGATGGAAAGCTTTAATATAGGTGATCTCTTTTCACTATACTTACCCAAGCATGTTTTAGAGAAGGAAAATATTTCACAGATGAGCAGTACCAAATGAAAACTCTGTCAGAGATAAATGAGATATTGTCAAACTCTACTGCCAGTGTTTAATTCCATCATTCAAAGAGAATGCAAACAAAAATGTATGTATGCAGTGTTGCAGAAACGACCTCCCCTCTTCTGAAGTTCAAAAAGGTAACCCTTCATTAGAAACAAAAATCCCCAAGAATAAGAAGAAATCCTCCGTAAGAATAAAAGAAAGATTCCCCTGCCTTTCCTGAATTGCTCATTGCTGACTTCCCTCCATGCCATTCCTAGTTGCCCCCAGCCTCTTGCAAGCCCCAAACAGCTTTAACCGAGAGAGTCTTGAAAGCAAGGGGTTTTAACTGGAGTGCAGGGACTACTATAAGGAGGAAAGGAGCTGTGTATGAGGGGAACGCGGAAAGAAAGAGACTCGCACCGGGGCAATTGCCACCTAATCCCTTTTGCTTTTTGCTAGAAGAAGGGGTACTTACTCTAGTTAGTAGAATATAAAGTCCTCCCAGACATGAGCAATTTAAAAACTGTTGGAAGTGCAGGAGACTCTGTAAATAGAGTCTTGCTGTGAAGTGCAGAAACTCTGTAGGGGAGTCTCACCAGAAAAAGTTTTGTTTGAATGGGGAACTCTACATCAGACTGTTCAGAGGGTGGGGTGGGGTGGGTGATCGGGAGGAGGCAGAGGCCGGGCATGTCCCATTTTCACATACCCTGTTGCCAACATCAAACAGCCCAAACCCCGATGCCACCCCTAAATGGCCTGAACTCTGAATGGCCTGGAGCTTAGCTTGGTGTCAGTGGCAACAGCAGGCGGAGTGAAAATGAAAAGATCCCATCCACTGCCACCATTCTGTGCTCTGCCCGCCTGCTTGCTTGCCCAGCTCTCCCTCTGGCTGCCCGCAGCAAGTTGTTCCCATGGCGAATTGGCCAGGCTGACTTGTCCTGCGATGACTTGGTGGCCGTGAGTTGACAGAGGCAACTCGGCAGTGGCCATGGCAAAATGACCTAGACCCCCTGGAAGCAACAGCCACTGGCAAGAGAATTGTTTTCTAGCCTGGTGCCTTAACCATTAGACCAAGCTACCTCTCCACTTATGTCAACCCTTCAGTTACATTTAGTATATGTTAAATCAGGTACAAGCAAATTAATTTCAGGGCTTCATACTTTCTAGGTTGACCAGTCAACTGGTCCACCAATCCATTAAAAGAAAAAATAGCTGGAGAAGTTGGGATTTCAGTCTTTTTCATAGCCAAAAGAAAATTGAGGAGCAGGAGTACAGATCAAATGAAATAGGAACTGGGAATCAGTTGAATTAGAAGTTGGCGAAAGAAAAGACATCATTTCAGGTTGCTTCCCCCATTCGCCCCAAGGCACTGCACATTGCCTATTGGCAGGACATGGGCAATGTAATTGAGAAAACACTTTTAGAATGGAGCTCTTAAAGATGTCCTCAGCAGCAAGTGAAGGGTCAAATAACAGAAGGTAGCAAGCAAGCATGTCTGCTGGAAATGATTAGTAAAAGATTCAGAGGTTGATTTGGGAGCTCTTCATCTGTCATAGGAAATGCTTTTAGGCACACTTCTTGAAATCTAGAGAGCTTCTTCTCTGATAGCTTTAGCCACCACCAAGCAGCAGAAGATGCAGAAAACAATGCCCATATTACCAACTTTTTAGGAGTAAAGAGTTATATATAAATAATGAAGTAGAACTCTTAAGATATCCTGTAGCTCAGCCTTTATCATTTTCAGTTTGAGGACACTAGCCGTCTCCATCATAAGATTGAGGGTGGTAAGAATTAGAATAACCATCTTGCTAAAATACTTTAGCCATTCTCTTCTCTTTGAATTTATGACAACAAATAGAGAAAATGCTCCTGCTGTGTTGTCATTTAATGTTTGTCTGGATTTTGGTAGCCTATGCATGGCAGTTATTACATTTTGAGTCTTGGACTATCTTTGATTTTGCTGTCTATGAATGGGCTATTTCTGCTCAAAGCAGAACATTTCTAATCAATGTGGAAACAGTGTTTACCTAGATGAACTGTTCATTTTGCCACAAGGCAGCTTCTCTATTTCATTTCTGCTGTAGTTCAATTAGTTCAACTGTATACATGGCCGTAATTTACTGCAGGGAAAAATATATTGATCTTTTTGTGAATAACTATAAGTTTGGAAAGAAATATCAAGTGTAATTTATGTTGATTCTGACTGCCGTAGCACTGTATACTTAGATGTTTCTAAAGGGGGGGGGAAGCATGTAACATATAGTATACAAATTCCTCCAGGTAAGTGTTCGTGGTACAAAAATGTTAAATCAATAATATCATTGAAACAAATTACCCTGCTTTTTGGTAGCCTGCTATGCAGTCGCCCAAAAGACAGAGAACATTCTTGGTCTACTTATTTAAGAGAGATGATCCTAATCTACTCCAGAGGCTAAATAGTAATATTCTCTTTTGATTTCAATTGTCATTTCTGAAGTATTCTCTACCCACAAGTAGGGGAAAAAGCCAGTGAAGACAGTGGCCAGCTGGAATGGGACAACTTGCTGCAGCCAACTCACTGCGGCCAACTCACCACGACCAACTTGCCACAGCCTACTCACCACAACCAATTCGCCATAGGATATCTCACCACGAGACAATTTAACAATTCAATTTAATTTCATTATTAATTTCATTATTTTAATTTTTGTCATTCACATTTCATTCTGTCTCTCCTTTTGCCTCCTTTCTTTTTCTTTTTTTGTAAACATGTTATTAATTTTCTAATTTTACAATCATAAATACTCAATAAACAACGTATTGTCTGGGTCCATTGGTAATTCAGTGGTACATATTAATTTTCTCAGTTTAGTTCCAGTACTACACCATCCAGTGCTTCCTTGATCCTCTCTTCTTCTGGTGGTATGTATTTTTCCACACTGGGCAAATACAGTTCTTGTTACTGTTAATACATATACAATTAAATATAGACATCTTCATCACATTTTTCTGGTATTATACATAATATCAATAATATCAGTTTCTAATATCTTTTCTAGCCAAAACATATCTCAA